TTTTGTATTTTATACAAAAGTAAAAATTAAAATAAAAACAAGCTTATACTTCTAGTTACAAAATCTAAGCAAACCAATATTGTCATTTTAATTGAACAATGCAACAGAAATTAATTTTGTCCCAAAAAAGTCTTTTGTCAATTTTGTTTAAAGAAAATAAAAATGTTCGCACTTTTTTAATAATATAACCTTAGTTAAAATAAAATGCAACTAAAGGATAAATAAAGTTTCCTCATTTTCTAATTACAGTAGATTCGTATTTGGCCTACCCTGCCACCCCCTGGAGGGAGGGGGGGGGAAAAAAGATACTCCTCCTCGACAGGTTTACATATTTTAGAAGAGCACCAATAAGGGTCGTGCTTGGATAGTAACACTAAATTTTGCTAAATTGGTTTGTTTCTGATGCATTGAATTAAGCTGCAGTTTTTTTCATCAGCAAATACGGATTAAAATTACCTAATGCTATATAAATATCTAAATTTGAAATAAAGCTTATTTACATGGTAACAAATTTTACCCCTCTTCCTTGTAGTTAAATATTATTATTCATTTTTACGGGAAACTGCAATAAACTTATTGAAATTCATACTTAATATTACATATATTTATTTCTACTTTTAATAAACATAAGTAATTTTTATCGATTATTCGGAATTTCTACACATTAATTCGCGTAAACGTGAATAAGAGGCAACGAAAGTGTAGCCTCCCCCCCTTTTTTTTTAATTTTTCAGTAAAACAAATTTCGTGACCTCAATTTATATTCCTACGTGAAATCTATGAGGGAACGAAGAAGTTTAGAGAAATTAAGAGCAAAGTTGCTGAACTTGCAGTTACAGTCGGTTCTCTAAATCATTCGATATCTTGTGTCATATCATTACTTGTTACAGCATACATGCACTAGGAACTCGTAAATATTAACTCTGGAGAAAGCAGACGATTATTAACCACTTGCATACTTCATTGTTATTCACAGACATAACCAAACCAGTGTCATCACGGTCGTCGTACCTGTTCATTCATAAAAGAAAGAAAATACAATGTCTCGAAAGTATGGTTGGTTGCTGGACAGACAGGTGTTACTTTACAGAGAGGGAAAGAGTGTAAGGGAAAACTACGAAGCACCCATTAAAATAAATAACGAAACTCGACAGATATCTTTATGCGATAAAACGATATACTATCAATTGACCATTTTGATAATTGGCTGAGATAAAGCACATGAGAGCCTGAGCGATGTGGGGCTTTTATGAAGACGGTTTTAAAGGAAGCTAGATCGTATTCGTGTTACACAAGGGAAAAGCATAAAAACGCCCATGCAACCAGCCGATTAGGCTAGAACCGAACCCGTATCGAATTACCAGTGTCCAGCGACCTTATATAATCGACCATTGATGAGTTATGCACTCCGAATACTACTAGCCAAGCTTCTAGTAATTTTATGCCAGGTTTAAAATTAGGTGATATGATACAGTGTACTTACTGTTGGTTTCAATTCAGACCTACGGACAATGCACATGGGCACCGCCCGCAGATTCTCTAAAAGATGACAGAGCGTGTGACCTTCATTGGTATTGCCGAAATGCTCACATTTATCCACAGCAGGAAAATGTGTATGAGAAATAATTCAGGTTTGGTTTTGGTTTATTAGATGACGGCAAAGCACTCGAGGGCTATCTGCCTTAAGATTTGAATGCCTTCGTGGAGGACGTTTTAAGGAAACTGGCTCGTATACACGTTACACATGCGGAAAACCACGAAAACACCCATGCAGCCAGCCCGTTCGCGGGATTCGAACCTCGGACCGAACTACCAGTGTTCAGCGACGTTACCGCTGGTGGGCAGAAATAATTCAGAAAGGCGGCTTTAAGTGGTAGTTTATTTAGTGAAATCTTTGCTGATAAAGGTACTGTGAATTTTCATACATAGCTGTTATTACGTTACTTCGGTTTTCGTTAGAATGAATCCCAGAATTTTAGAATTTCCTCAGAATGAATCCTTCTTTATGATTCATACCCCACCATTTTTTTATAAAATATAATAGTTCGAATTGTGTATGTCTGCTTACACTGTTATCAGAAAACTTCAGACGCTCTGTTAAATATGAGATTTGAATACAGGAAGTACTTGAGAACGTTATCAAAGTCCAGTCGCAAATTATTTGGAATTTATACTTGATAGATAAAATCTCACCATTTGGAACAACTTCTAACAGATGAAATACTACCGAAACTAGTTATTTGGTTTTTGTTCTGGAAAGACAGAACTCGACAATTTCTGTTCGGATCTGTTTGTCTGTACACGAACGATTACCAAAGTGTCTGGAGCTGGTCATAATCCTATTGATTAAGATTTAACCGTTCGCATATGGTGTTGGAAACAAATTTAGTTATTCTGCTAGATTATAATTTTTCTCAAACTTAACTCACCTGCGATTTAACTTCTATGCAGCACATGATAAAATAAAAAGGACAGAAAAAAATCAACGGTTAAAAAAAGATTTATAGCCCGGCAAAAAATAACGACCTTGCAAGTGAAGGTCGAAATGGGATTTATGCCATTAATATCTTAAGCATGCGAGAGGACGGGGAAGACCGCGGATGAGAGGCCCTTTCTAGGAAAGTACAGGTGAGACATGGGCGGAACTACATTTCCATCTAGACAACGGGCGCCATTCAAACCGTCAACTCTCATCATACTTCGCATGCAGAGACTCTTCACAGCGCCTAACCTCTCCTTCCCATCACCACTACCACCTTCCTCTTACAGGAGGTCGCAAATAATTCGGGTGGTCTATTTTCGCGAATAACCGAAAATATGCAAAATGTTAAGAATGTTGTTCCCCTTCAGAGTACAAACTCATGCTACCTTAGTAGTCACTAAAATTTTGTTGCAAATTAGACACGCGCAGAATTTTCACTAACTATTAGGCATAAAATATAGGGAACTTAAACCAAGACATAAAACAGTAAAAATATTAAAAAGCTTTTACTCGTAGATCTCTAATGATTGTTCTTACTTTCTTCAGTATATATTTTGTCAAGATCATATTTTGAAGTAAGTCACGCAATACATTTACAACTTAATTTCTGAATAAAATATTCACAGATTCCCCCTACTGAAATTGAAAAGACCATGAATTCTGTAAATTTTTGGAAAATGATATACCATCTTTTTTAAAATTAAACACAGAATATTTACTCTAATCGGTTACCACAATGATGAAGAAACATTTTTAAAGTATCACTTTTTATAATCCGAATACCGAATATCAAAACATTTGCATATATGAAGATAAGTTCAGTCAACACTACTCAACTGTGTCAAGCAAATCAGTTTTTCTTCAGCTGAAAAATCTGAACTTCACGTATAGTAGAACTATACAGGGTGTTTACACATTTTTTAGGACGATTTCAGGACTTTCTTAATTAATGTTTAAAATGCAAAGTTTTTTTTTTTTTTTTTTTTTTTTTTTTTTTGGTTCGATCTGATAGCCTTTTTACACTGGATTTAACTGGATTATAAATCTGCATCGTGATTTCTACGACAGAAAGGGTTTTGGTAAAATTTTCAGGGGTACTGATTTCTATTCCGCATCGACTTCTTTCCATAATCCTTCAATCGTGATGGATTTGTGCTTAGAGAAAGAGCTGTTTTCAAGAGACCAAAAGTGCGTGCGTATATGTGTGTATGTATTTATATACAATATATATATTTAATATATACTGCGTGCACTGCTTCTGAGTGAGTCTCAAGTTATCAGAGTAACAATAACTATTACGCTAATTAGCTTTTTCTCAGAGCAACTTAATAAACTCCAAAGGCTGTATATATTTTATTCCTTCTTTCAAAGCACAATATACGAAATATGGGTACTTAACGTAATTAACGCAACCACCTGAGTAGACCAAATTTTCACGAATCGCGAAATTTTCAGAATATGTTAAACTAGAGACCATGCTCATGACAATCCTTCAGTCAAGCAACGCCGCCATTTTCGTATGCGTTCTTTTTTATTCTATTCCAACGGTTTTTATAAACAAATTTTGATAATTTTTGCTAATATGAGCTTTAAAATCTGCCAGCAATAGGAAAAACTGCGGTAAAGTTTCTGCAAGAATACAGAATTTTGCTGAACATTTTCTAAAGGGAGCAACGAGGAAATGAGTTTCCTAGATAGCCGCTGTTGCAGAGTTCTGCACGAAGCCAACTCTTCGGAATTCTCAGATTTTTTTTTAAGCGAAAACTGATAGCTGTGTACTTCGGATGAAGAATAGCGAAAAAAAATTACAGAACGATTTGAAGAGCTGCTGCATTTTTTAATGTATTACATAATCCTTGTTTAATAAGTAAAATTTGAATTTTAAATTGCTAAAGTATGTTTTCTTTTCACACGTTGATAATGTTTACCGATTTAAGACAAATACCTATAGCTAGGGAATCTTTTTAAAAAAAAAAAACAAGAAGAATAAAAAAGGCGTGAAAACCATCAACTAGCACCCGATAATTAATTTCTACATTTTCATCTATAAAAAATCGCCATACTGCGTCACGATGGTTCTGTTAATATGTAAGTACCAAAATATATTTCTTTTCTTTGTGCATCCATCTTTTATACATTACAAGCTGTATCGTAATGAATCTACTTTTAATTTCTAACAAAATAATACCACTACTGTAGCGAAAAAAATTATGTCCTTATTTCATCAGGTCTATTGTATGGTTCACCATAACAAGCATAATTTAAATATTCCAAAAATGTAGCTTTATAGGAAACGAAAAGCCCTTAAGAATCTCAGAACTTCTAAATTTAATGCCATAAACTTTCAGACATTATATTAGTCATGTTTGTTATTATTAAATTCAACCACAGAAAAATTTTCTAGATTTTTTAGTACCAAAATTTAGAAATTATTTTAACTGTTTTCAGAAAGATAAACTGACAGTTTTGCAGGAATTGTTAAGGGCTGTAAAATTTAATTCGAAAGCTCCAAACTTACCTGGCAAATGGTCTCGTCTCCACAGTGTACTTGTCAGCAATTGGTTCTGTCCTTATGACTACTGGCTTCTTGCAAACGGATTCGCTGAGGAGACCTTGCAACGTAGTATTTTCCATCGCAAAGTTATATGTACACCTACAGAAAACATAAAAAAATTAGAATGTCACCTATATTTCGTTTCACTTAGAAACCCACTTTTATAATTGATAAAATAAGTAACGGTCCCAAAACTTATTTGTCAAACCGAACTTTTAAATTCTGCATTTAAGACTGATTGATTACGGCTTTCCATCTCTCACTATGCCCGGAATAAATGGAGGAATTTTTTTTCTTGTCAGATTGTAAAAAAGATTTCCTTCATGTGACCGAATTTTATTTCCTTGAAGCTTTTCAAATTCCTCAGAAATTCTCCAACTTAAATGATCCTCATTCCATACTTAATTATCAAACTGCTTTTACATCTTCCGTAATTAATTCCCTCTTTTTTTTCCTATCAGATGAAATGGTGCAGAGTACCATTACATTTGTCAACTTCCGTAACAGGAAGTCCTCTATCCGCACTTAATAATAGATTTTTCTCAATTTTCTCACGTGAATACAAGAATAAATTATTTTTTGTTAACAACTACCTGAACCTACAATTAGGAAAAAAAATTGAATTCAGATTTGTTTTATAAAACAAACTTTTAAACATTTGATATTGTAAAATGAGAAATCTATAGAAGGAGAATGAAATTTTGAAGTTCTAAAACTTCTCATCGTGTTTCTTTTGAATATGCAAAAGGACAGATTAAAAAAATATAGTCGAAATATTTTCGCCAGTTTAATAAGAATCAAATAATAAATCCTCCAACCTAGTCGCAATAAACCCATGCTTTCATTCAAATAGACAGTGGACAGAACTATCAACGGCAGAGTTGATGTACGAGGTTCGGTTTATTAGGTTAACTGGCTAAGCCTCAACGAGGTTCGGTTTATTAGGTTAACTGGCTAAGCCTCAACGAGGTTCGGTTTATTAGGTTAACTGGCTAAGCCCCTAATAGGCCCTATTTTGCTTCAAATAAAATTTCCTAATTTATTTTCAGTGTTAATCTTCTAAGGCCCCTTTTACGAATCGTACTCGCAACCGTACTCTATAATCTAGTTATGGCTCCCAGTCGGCATTCTGTACTTGTCACTTTAACTGTATCCTAAATGATTTTCTTTTGGGGGAGGGAGATGCTTTATTTAGAACAAAATTGCAGAATATTCAAACACATCATTCTGATAGTTTCGTATTTAGGACTGGGCGGTGCCCATATTACATTCTTGTTAGGAAAACCAGTTAATAAATTCTTTCATGGGATATAAGGAAACACTGCTAAGTATTAATAAATGCATTTACTACATAATGTTTCTCGGTTGGTTTCAATATATTTTTTTAAATTCTACACTTAGAATGTTGTTCAGTTTTTGTTTCTGTACAAGGTTAATTACGAATTTTTGAGAGTCATTTCTTTTATGAATGTAAAATTTAATGGAAACAGATATACATAATTGGACAGTGAAATGAAACTGCGCAAAAAATGGATCATTCGCAATATTCTAACGGTATGGTCGTACATTTAAGAAAAATGCAATCTATATTAAGTACAACAAGAAAGATCATATGGCATATAGAAATACAAATTGTAATAGCAGTGTTTTAACACATCACCGAAACCATGACAAAAATCACGTATGCGCATATTTTATATTTTAACTTATATGCATTTTTATGCTTTTCCTGGTGTTTTTGTGTTTTCTCAAAAAAGCAAAAGCTGCACGAGATTTTATGAGATAAAAATTTGAGAAAAAAAAAAAAAAAAAGACGAAGAAGCTTTTTTAAAAAGTTACATTTTGCCTATTCATAATTTGGGCATGGTGTCGATGATACTGCGTGCACGCTGAAAATAACCCCTTTCAAAGTGTGGTGGCGAAATGAGATCAAGAAGTGATTAAGTGACATTACATGTTCTCAGATCACAAATGTAAGATTCCATTAAAAAGGTAAGATATACATATATGTTTGGCATTAATATTTTCTTTACAAAGACATTTACTTACGCTTATTATGTACTTCCAAATATTAATTCGTTACGTGGATAAAAGGGCTTTAATTTTATTATATCTGATTAACTGATTTATGATACCAAAACCCGGGAAAGAAGATCCGGAGAGCTAAAGGATTACCAGAATAATGATTTAAAGATAACTTTTATTCATTAAAGCAGAAAAAAGAACCGATTCAAGGTTAAATGATGAAGTAAAAACTATAAAATGACATTGCTTGCTATAGAAGATAAAGGAAATGCAAATATATACAAATTTAGCTATCTTAACCACTCAGCTACTGAAAGGCTGGCTAAATATAGCCTTCCTGTTAAAGCTCTTAAATTTAGAATATGCAATAAAGAAAGCAAAAACGGGTTGAATATATTCAACCGTAACTATTCAGCATATAAATCATTATGCGATTATTCTTTCTTTCTAAATTCATAAAAACTGTTTTCCGATAAGTTTTTACAAAACAGACTTCGAGTTTTTAATTATTCCTTTGATAATGTTTTCGTCAAGTAACGGAAAAGTGACAAAACTGGTTAAAATTATATTGCAAATTTAAAAGTTGAATTCACCGTTCATCAAACCTATTACTGTTTTACAGATCACAACATCTTGCAACATCTCTGAACAGAAATAAAAACATTTTGGAGGTTAAACGCTGTGTAAAAACCCACTGATTACTTTTAAAACCGCACCCGAAGCCTTTGCTGGACAAAATAGTAAACATTTTCACTAATGTAAATTTTATTTTTCAACAGAGGAAAAAAAAAAATTAACGTTCTGGAAACGCTTTTTTCACCCAGAACAAAGAACTTTAGAAGGCCAAGAGAGAAGGGGATCAACAAAAAATAAACAGCTAGAATTCAAGAGGAAAGAAAAAAATAATACAAAAAAGAAGTTTGACGGCATGTTTGGGCTCGACCTAGGTAGGTCTGCCCCCTCCGGAAACAAAGGTGTACCAGAAACGTGCGATACGCCGGTCAAGCAACCTGTTTCTTTTCCATGGTACAAGAATGAGTCTTTCCTATAGATGTGAAAAAGGATTCAACCCTTTTTTTTTTTTTTTTCCCCGATTTGAAAATATGACAGTAACAACGAGCGACTTCTCTAATTCTTGTTACATTTGATTACCATGCATTATCTTGAGTAGATTTTTTAACACTCGTGTTTCCAATATTTATAGTTTATACTCCAGTGAGATAAAACAAGGAAAAAGTGCTTAATTCTTCCTTAATGAAATCCACGTTTAATCCCAATTCTGTTGACTATGATGGCTGATAAATGATAAGGTTAGATTATTTATTACGGCAAGGTATTCGATTTTTAACTATCTTCGAGGAGGGGATGTTTAGTACAGGAATTTTCTACGTTAAACTGGCTCCCATTTCACATGGCGGAAATCATTAAAAATTCATTTCTGGTTCAGTCGTGGAGAACTGAACACGGAACAAATTATTAATGAATATTCCATTTGTACTCGGCTACTGATACGCCATTAAGTGTGTAGCATAGGTATGTGATGCTTCAGTAGTCTTTACATGATTCTACGCTATACAAAAAAGCAATATTTAGCAATACCTGTATGGCAATTTTTGATAGAGTTTTCAAGTTCCAAATGGTGTCTCTAAACTTTAAGAATCAAACTCAATTTTTTTCTAAAACAGCTAAGATCATTCCAGAAAGGTCACATCCCTTCCGATTTTATATTATTAGATAAGAGTCCTGGATGAAGGCTATAGAAACTGGTCAGTTAACAAGCACGTATTTTAATCCACGACAGTAAATTTAGAAACATTTGCATGCCAAAATGATACAAATTATAACGAGATTGCTGGATGCGTTAAATTCTATGAGGGTGTAACTTTTTATAGGGGAGGAGATCGATTTGGTTTATTTGATCATGGCAAAATAGTCGTGGGCTATCTGCCTAACGGAAAAGATAACATTCTAAGAGGGGATTCGAACACCGGACCGAACTGTTAGTTTTCAGCGACTTCACCGCTTGGCCGCTGGTGGGCCGGAGGGGGAAAGGTAGTCTATGTGCATTTTCGAAACGATATCAATATACACGTAACTGGGGGAAAATCTTGAGAATTTAAACATTTTTCTTCCAGTGTTTGATTTTTATACTTCCATTTTAAAAACAAATTCAGCAATATTAAGTTGTCATTTTTAATGCAGAGTTAATTTCGCCTAAGGGTAGAGATGACTCCGTGAATAAATTTCAAAGGATAATTGGCTACCTTTCCTATTACATATGAGACTAACTATAGACGATTCGACAAGCCAGCCAGTTCAACAGCCAGGACCTAAGCTACCAATTTTTTCGAAGTTCAGACCTCCGGCTACTGGTAATAAATACTCTCTTATTAAAAAGTATCGTATATTCGAGTCATATAATTTACGGTATTTTATAATGTCGGAAGTATAAGCCGAGTGCCAAAAATTTGCATCCAGAAGTTATGTAACCACAACACCGACTAAATAAAAAATTGCGAGAATTACAATATGGTAAATAAAAATGATAAGGTTTCAGCTTCACAGAAGGATGATTAAAAATGCTTAAAATTTCGAACAAAGTTTCTTCCCCCCCCCCTCCCCTAAAATAAAGTTTATTTTTCGTTTATTTCATAAAATACAGTTCATTTAAATAGCTCCTTTTTAAAGTCTAACAAAGTATTCTTACGAAATTACATTCGTAACTAAAGGAAGAATACCAATTACCTATATAATCTAAGTACCTATGTCTAAAATCGTACAAAAAATTTGAATGCCATCTTTTTGAACGTTATACTTTATAATCGATTTTCGGGCTTTACACATCGATTTATACGCGAGTATATACAGCCAATATCTATTTTTTTTGGGGGGAGGGTCGATTTTTATATATATATATATATATATATATATAATACTAAAAAGTTTTTTGGGTTTCTAGTGTCTTTTTTCGTTGCCTTCTAGTGTTTTTTCGTTTCGTCTTTCGTTTTTATTAGATACTTCATTCCATTTATTCTCTCATACTGCCTTTTTATAGACAAAGAATTTATTTTTTC